TTGAGTTTCCAAGAAACTGTTGATCCATCGCTGCTTGAGATTATTAGAGTGAGTTTTAAGAAATTGGAATTTTTTTGCAGACTGCGAGTTTTGAACGAGCTGGCATCTGAACCAAGTTTAATATTGAAAAGGCTTTCAATCATTTTTCCTTGAAATTTTATCTCGAAACCTACTAGAACCAAAATTGTGCTTGCATCATTTTCCGGCTAATTTGTATTATTTATAGATATTTCCGGTATTTTCAGTCAATTTTGCTCTGTTTCCTGCCATCTTTCGCTGTTGGGAACGCTGTAATGACCGTAGGACAATCTTCAGCGGAAAAACTTCCACCCCATTTGCTCTGGGAATGGAACATGCTGGGTACGCCCTTTCTTTATTCACATCAGCTTTCTATCATTCACGTTGGTTTTTTCTTTAAGATTGGAAATTGTAAAATTTAGGCAAGAATTTGACATTTATGCTCATATTTGGATGCTTCTCTTCTTTGCTTTTCGTACTGTTTCAATTCAAGTCAGTGAGATATCGTTGGTTCCAAATTTGGGATTTGCGATATGGACGGAGAAACTATGGAAAGGTTAGTGTTATTCTTTACATTCTAATTTTTCAAGCGCCTGTCTTTTACTTATCAAACTTCTTATGGAGAGATTTTGTCGTATTTTTTAAAGTCAAAATCTGCATATACATACGGGCTGTAACCGCTTTCAGATGTTTCAAAACCGAGCATATCATGAAAATTCTTTGCCTAGCATTTGAGAATCAAATTTGAAAATGAGCTGTGTAACAATTTTAATTTGGCCGATTAACGTGATGCACTTCAATTAGTCACAGGGATGCTAGCATTTCTTTCATTGGGTGCACCTCATATAAAACGTGTACTTTGCATTTTTATCAATTTTCATACTCTCTCATAAAAGGTCATCAAGATGAGGAAATCTATGTGTCGTAACTTACAAAGTGTGATTATCTTGATTATCTTAGGTCGCTAATGATGAAGAAGACAGTGCAGTTAGAGAAGAACGCATCTATGTGACTGAATCGGGCGAGGACCTGGCTTTGGAAGTCAAGGTTATCATAATAATTATATCTTAAAATTTTCGCTTCAAAGGAAGAACTTTATCATTTTCCCATTGCCAAATTCCACTTCAGTTTCTTTTAGGATTTATGTA